GTAAAAAATATACATATATCTAGTTTAGTCCATAGTTTTTGTGTACCAAAAAGAGTGTATATAGGTGTCCAATTCCTCCAAATAAGAATCATATAATCAATAAAATGAAAGCATCATAGAGCTTTTTTTAAAAATCTTTATTTTTGAAAAGACAACAAGACTTTACATGCAAGGCACCACAATGTACATAACGGTAAGTAGTCAGGTAAACAGTATACACTTTTGACGACAATGCAATATATCACTTACATATGATTGGTTTCACAGAGATGACTGTTAAACATTTTTATATATGCAGAAACCAGAAATAAAAGAGAAAGAAGATACGAAAGTAAACAGTACACTCTACCACTGATGAAAGGTGTTTTTTTTCATTTTCAACACTATGCATTGTGGGACGCTCCTGGAAATAGTACACCCAATAGCTCCCCTGGGCATAGTATCTATTTTCTTAGATACATGTGGTATGCGTTATGTGACAGAGAGAAATAGAAAAGTTGGAAAAAGAAAGCAAGTGGTATTTATGATTAGTCTCAATATGGGTGGGAGACCAGATCAGGGGGTCAGTTACGTAAGCTTCTTGGGAGAGTATTGGGCTTGATCCCATCTAGTTCCCCAGTCATCTTGGGCTCTGGTCTAAAGAGACTGTGTGCCCTGTCTAGTTAGGACACTGAAGGTTATTGCGGGGCCCTACATCATAGTACTTTAAACATTTACAATGGTAATAGCTAATACAAGGGATGGCTCTAAGTTGCCTGTCCAGTACCAGGATATAAACAACTTCACTTCTCTCTTTTTAATGACACTTCAAGAAAGACCAACATTCACATCTGCATTGATAGAAAACAACTTTACATGCCAGTATCGTTACTCGAATGTTCTTAAGTTGATATTTGTCATTAAAAAGCCCATTAAACATTGTTAAGATCAACATACAGCAGATCTTTGTGGCTAATAAATATCAACAGCTTTTTTTTGCTTGTTTATCTGCATGCTATACAACTCCACCTCAGTGATAAAGGAGGGAAATGAAAACTTCTAAAATGAACATATTGTGTTTTAAAATCTGATTGAAAGTGAACCAATGTTTTTATGTAGCTCTGTGAGTCACAGCCAGGGGTGTGGGGGTGGGAGGGGGAATGCCCAGGGTTCCAATAACAGAAACAATATTGATTTAATTCCTAAATGACAGAATATTACAGAGTGAAATTGCAGGAGCAAGATCAATACATCAAAACTGCTTCATGAAGCTAAAGTTATCCCATTTACATCTGTGAGCTACACAAGTCCACCTCCAGTGACACTAACCACAATTTAGCATTTACCGTTTTCCACATACATTAAGAGAAGGCTAATTTCCATGCATGCAGGTTTCCTATTTAGGCCCTGATTTAATATTTTTGGGTACGATTTAAAAATTATTTTTTTTCAAAATATCGATCATCTATGAATAAATATATCAATATATAAATCTGACAAATCTATTAAAATACAAAATATTTTTCAGTTAATAAATATTAAAAGAGTTATCAAAAATATTTAATAATTTGAAAAACCTATCCCAAAATATTAAATCAGGACCTTAATTTTCATTGCTGAAACACTGTATTGGTACCGCTTCTCAACTGTACCATGTATAGTTATTTTAAGGTAAAAGGACTGGAAAACTTTGTATCATTACTTACCTAAAAAACACTAATCTATGTTTTTCTTTCTACTTTTTTAAAACAGCATTAAACATAGATTTTTTTGTTTATTTGAAAAAAACTCATGAATATTCACACACCTTCAATTGTGTTGACATTACTGCGAGCAAAAATAAATACACACATTTTATGATACTTCATAAATATCTAGAGAAAGACTATCAAAAACATTTGTGTGGAAACAGAAAATTGAAAGCATTAAATATACCTGAACAATCCATTTAAATGCATATTTTATTTGATATATTTTGCAAAGTTCATGAATATTGATATTTGTACTTTTATTGAAAGCATTCATCAATGCAATAATGAATTTGTGTTTGGTCTACCGGAAGAAAGTTTGTGAATGTGAGAACCCTGTGGGAGTTTTAAAAAAGTCCCGTATTTCATCTATGATCGACATTATGGTAATCCTTTGAAAAGATAACAACAATATTTGCTAATGAAGACGCTTGACCTTACAACATATTTTTTGAAGCAAACAAAGCTAGTTTTCTCATAAATAAATGTATTTTATATGAAGCAGAGTAATCATTAAAGCATCAGTTTCAGGACCAATCTAATCTCTGCAATTTGCAAACATAATTGTGCATAGATTACCCAGCACTCTGTCTCCCTTTCTCAGGGTGGTTTATGACGGCTTTGATTAATCAAAATCAAATGCACCCTAGATGAGTTATGTCAAAGGGAAATTTACTTCTCCCCTTGCTATATAAGATTATTTCAACCTGTGCATGTGGAGTGCAAATATTCCAGGAAGGTACCAAGATATCAAGTCTGCAGTATGCATACTAAATCATCTGAAAATTGAGGTACATGAATTAAACACTCACAAACAAATGATCATTTCACATTTGATGGAGAAGTCAATGATTTTTCTAGCAAACTAGCTAACCTAGAAATATGCAAACTTTTTAACAATTTGCTGCATAGAACTCCAGACAATATTACAGACTCCAGGTGTATGCATACAATAATCTCATTTGTCTAAGCAAGATTTTCTTGCGGATTAAATACATAGACTTCAAAGCCAGAAGCAACTCCCTGATAAAACAAAAAATATAAATATTCAATGGCACAGGTGTGTGTAGGTGTATGATTACTCAATTTCCGTCATCTCCTCCTATGTTTTTTTTTTTTTTTTTAAATGTTTTCTCAGTGACGTGGTATCTATGTTACAAATCCTGAATTTGATGGTGACCTTCTCTTTTGTTTTGCCACACTTTGTATTTCTGATTTTCTTTGTTTGTTAGTCTTCATAAAAGTCTAATGTTATCTTGATTTGGATGTCAATAAGAAGAAATGTATTTACAAAAAGAGTATTGTCAACGAGATTGTTAGAGAGAGATTGCTATTTGCAATATTGTTTCCAATATTCGTATTGCAGCTATGACTAAAACATCATCCTGAATAAATGCACTATACATGCTGACATATTGACGGTTCATCTATAAATATATTTCCTGGCTAATTATGGCAGCAGTGATGTTGCAGCTCTGAAATATGGCCATGGGTAACAACCCTTACAGCCGATAGGACAGGAATTCAACAGATTTGAAAAGGAGGATCCAGAGATGAGTCCCTCAGTCTTTTCTCCTGTCCTTACAGCCCTTAGGAAGGAAGCTGCTTAGCTCCCTTTACTTTACTCTACTACGGTCGGGGTGGCGGTCCATAGGCCGGGACCCAAGTGCTATATGTAGATGATGAGGAGTCTTCAGCGTGGAAGTGGATAAGTAGGGCCTGGTGCAGGGTAACCACACACCCCTAGGTGTTGAGTACCAGTGTTTGTGTGGCCACTTACCAAGACCCTGATGCTGCAAAGCGGAAACCAGAGCAGATGAATTGCTGATATGTATCCAGTACTAGTAACAATGTAAGACTAGAATAGGCACCAAACAAGAAAACAAAACAACCCCAGATCTGGAGCAGGATAGAAAGCAGAACATGTACGCAATACATAAGGGAAACACTAAACAGAACTGGGGCAGGACAGGACAGGACTGTACATGGACTGGGAATACAAAATAAAACAAGACAAGAGATATAAGGCAAAACAAGAGGAGACATAGACCAAGTACTATATATGAAAAACATTGGAGATTTAGACATACATTATTGGCCCAGATGTATGCAGCCCACCAGTGCGCCAAAGTACCTCAAGTACAGTGGGTCCTAACTGCCTAGATATGCATGACTAAATAAAGAATAAAACATATACAGTACTTACCTGCAAAGAGAGGGGCAGAGGACATGAAACAACTACCTGCAGGAACCAACTGAAACAAAAGAATTAATGGAAAAGGAAAGGGTGTGGAAACATAAAACTAACATATAAAGGAATCCAGGGGACTGGGGATTCCAGGAATGGAATAAAGGAATGAACCCAGAAAACCCAGCATGGAGAAAACCAGACACAGAATAGAAAACCAGAAAAACCAAGAAAAACTAAATAAGAATTGTAAAAATAGTACTGGATACCAGAAGCCATGGTCAGACTTTAGAACAGAGGAGTTCCTGACAACTACTTATTTTAGTACCTCTTTTTTCTCCCTCGGTTCCAGGACCTGTTCTGAAGTGCCTGAGGGCTTCTGGAAGATTTTCCTGGCTTCTGTTATGTTCTCCATTTTTTCTTCCATCCTCCCAGCTCAGACTGCACGGATCACGGGTAGGACGCCTGCGCATGTACAATTCGCTCATCTCTCTTTGGCGCGGCGGCCATCTTTGTTGAGGGTAAAGTCCAAAATTGCATGGAAATTTCCGAAAGTTGCCAGAAATAAGGTCAGTGTTCAGCTGGGATTATACCTGTACTTTGTGCAGTTTCAGTTTGCATTGAGGTAGGAAAGACAAGATAAGAAAGTTTAGTTTACCTGGATTTCTTGTGCCAGGGTCTACTATTCTTTGCCACAGGTTGGTTTGTTTTCATATTTCATTTTTTTTGGCATTCAAGTTTTGTTCAGTTTGAGATATTTATTTAACTCATTCTTTATTATAGGAGCCAAATATGAGCTCTCCTGCTAGGAACCCCTTACCCTGTTCTCAGTTATCCAGGTGAGTAAGGGTTCATTTATATATATATACAGGGAGTGCAGAATTATTAGGCAAATGAGTATTTTGACCACATCATCCTCTTTATGCATGTTGGAATAAAAAGAAAAAGGTGTGTGTGTGTGTATATATATATATATATATATATATATATATATACACACACACACCTTTTTCTTTTTATTCTCCCTCTGCTAAAATGTCCTTTTATTGCTTTTTAGTAATGGAGAACAGTCTGTCATCTCCCCCATGGAAGAGAAGGGAGAAGGCAATTCTCTGTGCTTAAACGGTTTGCAGAAAGTAGCTGCTTCTTCATCCTTGACACCCACTCAGTCACCGGATATTCTGGCTTGGATCAGAAAGGAGGTAGCCCAGGGCATCTCAGAGGCCATGGAAGGAAGGAAGCGGTCAGAGAAAAGACCTAGACAGAGGCAAGTTTCCTCAGAGTCATCAGCATCAGAATGCCAAGATCCATCTGAGGAATTTCAGGTAATCGATCAGGTTGGTTCTAATGAAAGCAAGGAAGAGATCCTTTTAGAATCACTAGATGCTAAGACAGTGGATAAGCTTATCCTCATGGCAAGAAAGACCCTAGAAATACCAGAAGAGCTTCCTAAGAGTGACAGTTCCGATAGACACTTTGCGGACCTCAGGAAGCAAAAACTTTACTTTACTCTTCACAGGGCGATTTGTTTACCTCAGAATGGGAAAAAATAGATAGAAGTTACTTTTCAGGGTAAGCTATCCAGGTTTTACCCTTGTAGCGGTACTTACCTTACCCAGGGGCCGGCTGAGGTCCTCACTTCCCGCCGCACGCAGCTCCCAAATGAAGGCGGGCTCTTGGGCACGCTCTTAAAGGGGCAGTGGGAGCCTAAAAATGAAATGTGCTCCCATTGGCCCCTGTCATCCCATATTCACCAGACACTCATATTTTGGGGGCGTAGATATGACAGGGGCCAATCAAAGTAAAGTTTAGGGTATTTATACTTACCTCACCCTTAACTCCCTGCCCTATCGTGGTTTCTGTTTCAGTTCCCTTTAGCACTTGTTGTGTTCAGTTGTGATTTTCGTGCTTGACCTTGGCTTTGTATCTGACTCTGTTTATATCTCTATCCCTGTTTTGTCTTGTTTGCCGGCTTACAGACTACTGTGTACCAGACCTTGGCTAGTTTTTATTCTCGCTGTCTCTTTGTTCCCTTGACCTCGGCTTGTTCTTGACTCTGTCTATTCTCTGCTATATGGCGAGTCCGGCCATTCTAAGGTCGGTAAGTTGTATCTGCTCTGTCGATTGTTGAACTAAATCCTGCGTGTAGGGGTAAACTACCATGACAACCCTTTGGAGGAAGAAACCTCCAAGAGATGGACGACACCACCAAATGTTGATGCTCCCATATCCAGGATAGCCAGGAAAACTAGTTTGCCGCTGGATAGTTCCTCTTCCTTGCGTGACCCGATGGATAGGAAATTGTATTCTGATCTATCCAAGATATATTCGGCAGCTGGAGCAGGATGCCATCCAGCTGTGTCTTTCACGGAAGTGTCCAGGGCCATGAAAAGTTGAGTGAAGGACCTAGATACAGATGTGGAGAGAGGAGTGAAGAAAACAGACCTCAGGAGATGCTATTTGGGATCTTCGAGTAGCAACTGAGTTTGTCACGCAAGCATCCCTTGATATCACCAGGATCTTCTCCCGGACCATGGCTCTTTCAGTGGCTGCAAGGAGAGCTTTATGGTTGTGTTATTGGAGTGCGGACTCCTCCTCCAAGGCCAATTTATGATCTATACCTTTTGAAGGTGAACTTCTCTTTGGGAAAACCCTAGAGGATTCCATTTAAAAAGCAGCAGAAGGTTGTAAAGTCTTTTTACCCCAGGACAAAAGAACAAATAGACTGCGCTCTTCTTGTTCGGAGAATCGACCTCATGGAGATCAGTACTTTCAGGATACTCGTAACTACCGACTGGGTAGATAGTACAAACGTAGTTATAATTGGCGTGGGGGCCAATCATCTTTTTCATGCTCTCCCTGAGGTAGGAATCCATCCTTTCGTTCTGGAGGCAAGAACTTCTGACTATCCTTTGAATGTGGGAGCCCAGCTTTCTCTCTTCAAGAAAGTTTGGGCACAAGACATACAAGATTCCTGGGTCAGATCTATAATCCAGAGGGGGCAATTTCTTTATACCCATACGTCCGCCCAAGGACAAAGGCAGAATCAGAGCTCTGGAAAAATATGTAAAGAATCTTATGTCCCAGAATGTTATCATTCCAGTGCCAAAAGGAGAACGATTTCAGGGACAATACTCACCTCTGTTCTTGGTTCAGATAGACAAGAAAAAATGGAGACCTATTCTAGACTTGTGAAGAATCAACAGGAGATTACTGGTCAGATCCTTCAAGATGGAGTCCATAAGGTCCATCTCCCCAGCAATCCAAATGGACAATTTTCTCATATCAATCAACTTAAGGGACACCTATTATCATGTCCCAATAGCCAAGGAACATCATCATTTTCTCTGATTCGCAACAGGGGAAGATCATTTTCAATTCCAAGCACTTCCATTTGGCCTGAGCACAGCACCCAGGACCTTTTCGAAGATACTGGTCATTCTTATAGAAAGAATCCAAGGTATCTCTTTATTTCATTACCTGGACGATCTACTGTTAGTAGTCCCAAATGTCCAAAGTGCTATACTACAGAGATATAGTACTATCAGAGCTCCAACGATTCGGCTGGTTGGTGAATTTACAGAAAATCAGCCTCATTCCATCCCAAAGTACTATCAGAGCTCCAACGATTCGGCTGGTTGGTGAATTTACAGAAAATCAGCCTCATTCCATCCCAAAGTGAATACGTTTCTGGGTGCAGACTTCAACACTCTCCAAAACACTATCTCCCAATCACTAAAGATGATACAGAGGATTTCAAGCTTCATATCCAAGGTTTTACGACTACGTATAACAGCAAGGAGATTTACGCAGCTTCTGGGCAATCTGACATCTTCTATAGGACTGGTCAGATGGGCCCTCAGGGAATCAACTCTTGAAGAGATCCTTTGGTATAGATTCACCTGATGGCTATGAAAGGTGAATATGGAGAAGGGATTCCCATTGGTAGAACCCAATTGGGTACTATTAATGACAGATCCCAGTGCTCATGATTGGGGAGCCGTCTGTCAAGACCTGGTAACAAGCAACGGTCAGTACTTCCAGGCAATGTTCTGGAACTTCGTGCCATCCCCAGAGCACCCATACATTTCAGGGAGGACTCACAGCCAACTATTGATGAGGGAACTACAGCCCATCATGAGTTGGTGTCAAAAGAATATCCAGGGTATATCTGCGGTGCACCTCCCAGGGGTTCAGAACACCATGGCAGACTACCTGTGCAGTGTGACAATAGACAAGGGCGAGTGGCCACTTAAGCCCCAAGGTATTCCAGGAGCTGTCTAATCTGGGGAACTCCACAGATATACCTCATGGCAACGGCTCAGAACACCCAGGTCAAAGACTTCTTCTCAAGACTTGTCGATCACAGAGCCAGGGGTCAGGATGCTCTGTCCCAACCTTGGAGGCTCACGCTGGCTTATGTGTTCCCTCCTATACCCCTCATTTACCCAACTCTGAAGAATATTCAGAGGGAGAAGATAGAGGTCATCGCTATCCTCCCATTTTGGCCCCGTCGGCCCTTGTTTCCTATGGCAAGACGAATGAGTCGGGAACCTCCGAGGAAACTTCCAGTCTGTGCAGATTTACTATACCTGGGGCCGCTTCTGCATCCAAGTCCTCTACCCCTCAGATTGATGGCTTGGAGATTGAGCAGGAAACTTTGATGAGTGCTGGCATGCCAGACCCAGTCATCAGAGCATTCCTGAAATCCTGTCTCTGCTTCCTCCTCATATTATAAAATGTGGCACGCATTTGTCTGCTGGACACAGGAACAGCATGTGGTTATCCTTGTCTTCTGTGCTCTGTTTCCTTCAAGCAGACATTGATAGGGGCCTTAGCTATAAAACTCTGAAGGTTCATGTATCGGCTTCATCTGCTTTGACAGGCACCCGAAGGGCTCTGAAACCATGTGTCATCCGTTTCCTAAAAGCAGTTATGAAGATCCCGCCTCCTCTTAAGGTATTTCTGCCGGCATGAAACCTATCTCTGGTCTTGAAGGCCATGACTAGGTCACCCTTTGAGCCACTTGATCTGGCTCCATTGATGGTATAAACCCAAAAAGTGGTCCTATTAGTGTCCGTTTCATCTTCATGGAGGACAATGCTCCAGGCATTGTTCTGTGAACCACCTTTTACGAGGATACTACAGGACAGGGTAGTCCTCCGACCGGTTCTGGAATTTCTACCTAAGGTGGTGTCCAAGTTCCACTTGAATCAGGATATTGTTCTACCATCCTTCTGTCCTAATCCCACTTCTCCTGAAGAGGAAAATTGGCACACTCTGGATGTAGCTCGAGCTTTGTCTCTCTATCTGGAGAAAACCATCTTTTTCCGCAAATCATCCAGACTGTTTGTATGACCTATTAGCCACAGACGTGGTGAAACTGCCTCTACATTGAGACAGTTCGTGGTATCGGCCATCTCAAAATCTTATAGGTGCCTACAGTCAGGTCCATAAATATTGGGACATCGACACAATTCTAATCTTTTTGGCTCTATACACCACCACAATGGATTTGAAATGAAATGAACAAGATGTGCTTTAACTGCAGACTTTCAGCTTTAATTTGAGGGAATTTACATCCAAATCAGGTGAACGCTGTAGGAATTACAGTTTGTATATGTGCCTCCCACTTTTCAAGGGACCTTTTTTACATTTTTCGTCAGATTTTATAATTTTTTTTATTATAGTAAATTATACGATATGATGAAAATAATGGTAACTTTTGAAAGACCATTTAATGGAGAGAAAAACAGTATAATATATGTGTGGGTACAGTAAATGAGTAAGAGGAAAATTACAGCTAAACACAAACACTGCAGAAATGTAAAAAGAGCCCTGGCCCTTTACAGTAAGAACATTTAAAAACGTATACTGGACACACACACACGCTGAGTCTTCAGACCAATTCATACATAGAGCATGTAGTGGAAACATACTGATGCTGTACCACAAACCAGTTCATGTACAGATACTGAGGCCCAGTGGCCTCATATGCGGTATATTTTCTTCCACTCTCTGAAAAAGCATGATATAATGCACAGATAACAGCAATGAATGCCTTGATAGAAACAAGTGTCTGTGTGGACTTATAGTTAGGTTTTAACCTGTCATATACATGTGTCTACTTCAGTCACCCAGGAAAGTTTTCACTTACCTTGGATATTTCTCTGTCTTCAGAACTGTGGAATTCCAGCAGACTTTATACAGCCGGGATATCCATTATCAGCACTCTTTTGCACAATGCATCCTTTCATGTATAAACGTACCTAAATGCTCACCACACAAACCTCCTAAATATGACCTATTTGTTTGAAGGAAGCCTTATGTAAGCAGCTAGGAGGGGCTGAAAGAACAGAGACTCATGTGCTTATACTAGTTTTAATCTAAATTACTAATGCAGTTACCTGAACAGCTGCAGGCCTGTGTTTCAGTGGCAAAATGGGGATTTGAACAACTGACAGCCTAAACCGTTTAAACTACAGGTTTCTATCTGTACCCTATATGCCGTTCATCATCACCAGTGGGAGAAGGTTTAAACCAAACTTCAGAC